TACATATAGGTACATTATGTCCCTTTAATTAAGAATAGAAAGGTGAGGGACCAGCGGGTGGAGTCGTGTTTAAGGCGCTGGACACTCCCACATGGCTGACCCCGATTCAAGTCCTGGACCTGGTGGCTTACTTACTCACCTTCTCTCTCTTTCTCTCTGCCTGTGTGTGTCTCTCCAGTCAAATTAAAAATGAATGAATGAATAAATAAAGTTAAATAAATAATTTTTTTAAAAAAGAATAGAAAGGTGATAAGGGGAGGCATATGCTTCTTAAATAAGGAGCTGGCATTTGTCATACCAAGAAATAATGAGAAGTTCTCAGATATGACTTTCCAGACAGTTTTAATGCAGCAGGTATTCACCTAGCCTTGGCAAAAATAGTTTAAATTGAATTAACCTATCTTAATAGTCCTCTTATTAAAATAATATACATCACTAGTTTAGAATTGGTAAGAGTGGGGGCCAGCAGGTGACGTGGTGCTTAAGGGTACCGGACTTCCCACATGGCTGACAGCAGTTTGAGTCCCAGACCTGGGTGCTTGCTTTCTCACTCTCTTTCTCTCACTCTGTCCCTCTCTGGTCAAATATGAATAAGTAACATGCAGATAGCATTTTCGTATGCAAATCCTTTCATAGCTAGAAGCTTATTTCTGCATGCTCAGATTGGCCACTCTCCACATAGCAGCTTACTTTCTCAATTTCCCTCTCTCTGTATCTTGCTTTGTCCCTCTCTGGTCAAATTGCAATAAATAAATAAATAAATAGCAAGCTTTATTTTTATATATCTACATTTTATTTATATATGTTTATATACATATAATAATTTTTTAATTTATTCACTTATTTATTTTAATTTGACCAGAGAGAGATAGAGAGAAAAAGAGGGAAAGTGAGAAAGAAAGCCACCAGGTCCAGGACTTGAACCGTAGTCAGCCATGTGGAAGTGTCCAGAGCTTTAACCACCACCTCCACCAGCTGACCCCAATAAAAATAATTCTTAAAAAAATTTTAAAAAAGAATTGGCAATTGTGGGGATATGGGAATAGGAATATGCCACATAGTACAGACAGCTGTGTGCTTGCACCTTGCAGAGTGCATCCTGCACTTAGTAAATATTTAATAAGTGTTTATTGAATACATATCAAGTGTAAAGTACTTCCAAGATTTTGGGACAAGAACAGAGATAGTAATAACAGTGCTATAGCAGCCAGTAACTTCTAGCCATATTTGAAATCAAAATGAATTTTTTTTTAACCATTTCTAGATGAAAACTATAAAGTGATCTACATATAACAAAGAAAAAATAAAATAGACAAAGCTAGAAAGAGAAGTAAGATTTTTACTGTACCTTATTTAAAATTCCAAAGAAATTATAGGGTCTCTTAGGTCCTGGAGTTTGGGTGGCATCAACACAGATGAAAGAATAGTTGCCAAAGGGAGTATTGTGGACATAATGGAAATGGCCATCCCTACGTACAGCAGAATATTTCCTACAAAATACAAGACGGGAAAGCTTTAGTGCGATCGTGAAAAGATGGAATTAATTTAAATCCTTTCCTAGCATCACACTGAACTTTTGTCTTCCTCTGCAAAGGATATTTACATTTTTTTATTATTTTTAAGAGAGATTTTTGCTATTGAGCACGTGCACTCACCGGAGATGCAGGAAAAGAGAGAAATCCCCCCCCGGGGGGGATGGCCATGCCACAATTCCTTCTCCTCCATTCTCCTCTTGGGATTTTGAACACATATGCACACAAGCCAGGCATGAGTTTCAAGTTGATGGTCCAAGACTTGAACCACAGTTGGCCATGTAGCAGTCCAGCACATTAACCATTACACCACTTACTGGCTCCAAAAAGGAGTTTACTGATCTGACAGAGAAATACACTAAACAAGATCCATAATGGATAACTGATTAAATGAAATTTCTAAGTTTTTATTCCATTTTCTCCAGAGAATCATGAAAACTAACTCATCAATAACCAAATGCAAGGTCTCCAAATAAAGCAGAGAAGACAAGTAGTCCACTAAACAATGAAAAAGAATGATTCAGACTCAGTGAGACAGTACTTTTCAATTATTTTTAAAAATTTAGTGAGGGCCTACTAAACAAACACCTAGCAGAATTCTTGGAGTATTGAGATCCAAAAGATGGTTACTTCTAGAAATAAGACTACAAAGGCTTATATCACAAGAACATTAGCAAAGATGAAGTCATTAAACCAGGAGAAAAATGTTAGTGTAGGTCTAGGTCAATAAATCTTCAGTTCCTAAAAACATACTGGTAACATACACAGGGTCTACATCCAATATGAAAGTTTGTACCACCTTAAGTGTCAATGTATTCAGGTGTCATAAAGTTGGAGGGTGAAAAGCAGGGAGAAAGTATGGGTAACATAGCACAGAGTAGGCATTCATTAAGTAACTTGAATAAATGAGAAGGAAAGGATAGACTATTTGGTTGTCAAAAAAGTCATGATGTATTTTTCTATGTCTTTCTATGCAAAAATGCATCATGACTTTTCTAACTACCCAATATATTGGGGCATACTTCTACAATATTATTTTACTGTCAGAACAGGAGCGAACAGGTGGCATGGTGGTTAAGAGCACTGGACTCCCACAGGGTTGACCATGGTTCCAGTCCCAGACTCAGTGGCTTGCTTTCCCTCTCTCTCTCTCTCTCCCCGCCTCTCCCTCTCTCTTTGTCCCTCTCTGGTATGTATGTCTGAATGAATGAATAAATGAATAATAATTTTTTTAAAAATTGTCAAACATTATAAGAAAACTTGGTATCATCTTTTATCTAAGTGTCTTGTTTGTTTTATTTTTAGTTTGCTACAGTGTGCATGTACTCACTGGAGAGAGAAAGAAAGTGAGGAATCACCCCCCAGGGCATGAGCACACTGCAATCCCTCCTCTTCTATCTTCCCCCTGAGGTTTTGGGCAGCCCACACAGGTACCCCACGTTTTTGATGCCACTAGTCCAGGACTGAATTGTGAAGTAAGCCATGTGGGATCCAGCTGCCTTAATCATCATGGCACCAGCTGGCCCATATCTAATTATCTTTATGATGTCTTACTTAATGGCATATGTTAAAAAGTACAAAAAAGGGACCAGCGAATGGGGTAATGGTTACATCGCTGGACTCCCATTTAGTCAACTGTAGTTCAAGTCCAGACCTGGAGGCTTAAAACTCACGTTGAGTGCATGTGCGTGCATGCCCCAAATCCCAAGAGACGACTGGAGAAGGGATTGTAGTGTGGCCATCCCACCTGGGGGTCAATTTCTTGCTTTCTGTCTATCTCTGTGTCTCCTGCAAGCAATGTGCCCTTATAGCAAACAATCTCTCTCAAAAATGAATGAATGAATAACTAAATCAATAAATAAAACAGGAACGGGCAGGCAGCATGGTGGTTAAAGGCGCTGGTCTCCCACATGGCTGACCACAATTCAAGTTCTAGACCTGGTGGCTTGCTTTCTCACTCCTCCCCCGTCTCTTTTTGATCAAAATGGAAAATAATAATACTAAAATAAAGGGAAATAAATAATTCTTAAAATAAATAAATAAAACAAAGAAACTTCTACAACGTAATGTGCTAGCACTGAGCTATATTTAAGTCACAATAGCCATCAAATATATCATAATTAAAATAAACATATTGTAATAAATATTCCAATACTCAAAAATTAGACAAACCTGGGACCAGCAGTTAGCATAATGGCTATGTCGCTGGACTCCCATGTAGTCAACCGTGGTATGAGTCTGTGACCTGGCAACTTAAACTCAAGCCAGGCACGTGTGCGTGCGTGCCCAAGATCCCAAGAGGAGAATGAAGAAGAAATTGTGGCATGGCCATCCCCACTGGGGGGTGATTTCTCGCTTTCTGTCTCTCTGGCGAGTGCACATGCCCTATAGAAAAACCTCTCCAAAAAAAAAAAAAAAATTAGACAAACCTAATTTAAACAAAGTCAATTAGTTCTATTTTCCCTTTTTTTAAAAAAAGAATTATTTAATTTTATTTATTGACTCATTTTATTTTTCAATTTTACCAGAAAGAGACAGAGAGGAAAAGTGAGAAAGCAAGCCACCAGGTCTGGGACTTGAACCATGGTTGGCCATATGGGAGTGTCCAGCCACCAAACCACCTGCCGGTACCTTCTATTTCCTTTTTTGTTGGTATTTTAAAATTTTCTTTCAGGGGACCAGCAGTTGGCGTAATGGCTATGTCACTGGACTCCCATGTAGTTGACTGCAGTTCAAATCCCAGACCCGGTGGCTTAAACTCACGCCGGACACATGTGCATGTGTGACCAAGATCCCAAGGGGAAAATAGAAGAGAAGAGATTGTGGCTTTGCTATCCCCCCCGGGGGGGAATTTCTCGCTTTCTGTCTCTCTGTCTCTCTGTCTCTCTGTCTCTCCAGTGAGTACACACACCCTATAGAAAAACACTCTTTGCCCCCAAAAAACATTTTTATTTTATGTGACCCATAACTCACAAATAAACATTTATTTGGAGGTGTTAAAAGAAAAAACTTCAGAAAATTTAATTTAGTGGAATTTAATTAAGCAAAAGTAAACATGATTCCAAATGGATAGTTTCCTGAACAGCTTCCAGTAACTGGTGGTAGCGATTCTCTTTAATAAAAGAAAGAAAGAAAGAAAGAAAGAAAGAAAGAAAGAAAGAAAGAAAGAAAGAAAGAAAGAAAGAAAAATATTCTGCTTCAGGTTTATGTTCATTATATTTTTTTCTTGCTTATTTTGTTTTTGGTTATTCCCCCAGATATTATAATCCTTGCCTACAGTTTTTAACATATTAAAATCCAACTGTCTAGGGGCCAGCAGGCAGTGTGGTAGTTAAGATGCTGGATTCCCACATGGCTAACCAAAGTTCAAGTCCTGGACTTAATGGCTTGAAAATCACTCTGGAAAACTCCCTCTCTTTCTGACAATGTTACCACCTGCATCTGACTATGTAGAGAAAAAAAAGCTTCTTTAAAATAAAAAATCCAGGGGACCAACAAGGAGCATGGTGGTTAAGGTGCTGGACACTCTCATGTGGCTGATCATGGTTTGAATACTGGACCTGGTGGCTTGCTTTCTCACTTTCTCTCTGTACTCAGCAGAAAAAGAGAGAAAGGGAAAGTGAGAAAGCAAGCATTAGGTCTAGAACTCAACTGCAATCGGCATGTGGGAGTCCAGCACCTTAACCGCACGCCACCTGCTAGCCAATGACAATATTTTTAATATCAGCTCTTAAAACTTTCATACTATCCAACTACTGATGGGCTCTCAATACTTGCTACCTGATTGATTGAAAATACACAACAAAGCTCTGAATGCCCTGGAACTAAAAGTGAAACTGCAAACAAAAGAATTCTAACACACTGAGACGAGATAGTTTTCTAACTCAGAGATTCTCTAGCTTTTTTCATACTCATAAAACATAAAAAACATTTTAATATTTCTATGCACTGGGATAAAAGGATAAAGCAGCAAGAAGTGACAAACTGAATTCTCCAGCCAACCCAGAGGATGAAAGAATTTGTATCTCATCATTCCAAAAACCCTTCAACTTCAGTTGTCTGGGAGATAAGTGCTGCTCTAAATTATTTTGCCTATCCATAAGCAGCGAAAAAAAGGCAGTCTGTGTAGAATATAAAAGTACCATTGGCCAAAACAAAGCATTAAAATATGGGGGGAAAAAAAAGAATTAAAGGAAATAAAAAGTCCAAACAAAAAGGATCTGTTGCATAAATAAATAAATAAAAGCCTCCTTTCCTAAATTATCAGATTCTTCACATAGAAATTTTTAAAAAGAATTATTTAATTTCATTTATTCATTCATTTATTTTAATTTGATCAGAGAGAGACACAAGGGGTGGAGTGGGGAGTGAGAAAGCAAGCCACCAGGTCCGAGACTCGAACTACGGTTGGCCATGTGGGAGTGTTCAGTGCCTCAACCACCATGCCACCTGCTGGCCCCTATATATAAATTTTGATCTATTTCAAAATGCTTTCACTTGGCCAGTTGGTATTGTGGTGGTTAAGGTGAATAAATCCCACAAGGCTGATTACGTGGTTTGAGTCCTGGCCTCAACAGCTTGATAAACACACTGGGCCTATGCGTTCCCAAAACCCCAAGAGGAGAATGGAAGAGAAGGGATTGTGGCATGACCATCTTCCGGAGGGGTTATTTCTCTCTCTCTCTCTGGTGATGACATAAACCCTATAGCAATCTTAAAAAGTTTTCACTCATTCTTGAATTGACTGCACTCTAACACAGACACAACATAGTGGTCTGTCTCCTGTTCATTACAGTACCTGTAATAATTCTTGACGCTGTCCAGACTTGGAATGTTATATGCATCTAATTAAGAAGAAAAAAGAAAACATTCATTTATATTAAAATAAATTAAGCATGCTAATGATTAAAGAAAAATGGCATTTATTTTATAACAATCCAAATGGTAAAATGTCAATCCATCAGGCTGATAATTGTTTTGAGGTTTTAGCCTTAGGGTGCATGTGCTCACCAAAGAGAGAGACAGAGACAGTGAGAAGGAAGGTGAGAAATCCCCCCAGCAGGGATGCCAATGCCACAATGGCTTCTCCTTCATTTTCCTCCCAGGATCTTGGGCACATACCAGTCCAGTGTGACTGGTCCAAGAATCAAACTGCAGTCAGCTATGTAATAGTCCAGTGACATAACCACTATGCCATCTGCTGGTCCCCGAACTGATAATTTTTAAACTTGATAGTTTAACAAAATTCAGATTATTTGGAAACTTACTGAATTTTTCATATACTGGAAAAATAACAGGAACTTTGAACTATGTACTACTCAGAATAAATCAATTTGAAGTTATAAGACTGGACTATTACTGCTACAGTTTTAATCATGATTCTAGAAGCTAGCAAGGAGTAGATTCATGCCTGATCTGTAGATCTATGTCGGTGCTTCTAAACAGATTTCTTTGGTAACAGGGATAAAATCCTTCTCTTCTTAAATAAGAGTCAATAGGAAAGGAGTAACAAATGGTAAGGTTAAGTTTAAGGATAGCATAGAAGATTTATGTGGAAATACAATAATGATTTAATAGAGTCTGACTGCCTCCTTGCAATAGCTAAAATTGCTTATCACTTTTAATTTTCAGAAATCCACTTTATTTTTAATAACTTTAGAAAATAAGTTGAAGGTCCAATTTAGGCCAAAAGAAAATATGAACATGAATGTAATCCTCTTGCTAAGTAAGAGGACAACTACAAAATATAGTTAAATATGAATAAAAACTAGTTTCTCCCAGTTTAACACTATATATAAGCATATATTTGGGGTCATCAAGACAGTCAAGATGCATTTTTGCATTAAAAACATGGGAAAAAGGTCATGACTTTCTCAATAACCTAATATAAACACATACCATAAGTATTTATGCCTATAAAAGTCATAGTATTATGAACTCCAAAGAATCATCCAAATTATTTGATCACAAGGGTCTTTCTGATATTTATACTTAAAATAAAGAAGGTAGTAGTAAAAAAAAGAAAAAAAAAGCTAGTAGCTAGGCTTGGAATTCTTTTCTTTCACTTGAGGCTTTTCCAATAAGGCATGTGTACTCACCAAAGAGAAGGAAAGTGAGAATCATCCCCCAGGGGCAATGGCTACACTGCAATCCCTCTCTTTCAGTCTCCTCTCGGGATTCTGGGTATGCACACACACACTTCTGGTGTGATTTTTCAAGCCACCAAATCCAGAACTTGAACCACAGTCAATCATGTGGGAATCCAGCACCTTAACCACCATGCCACTTGCTGCCCACCTCCAGCCCCCATTTTATAACCTTACAATCCAGGATTGGAACATCTAGGTTCCTGAAGGAAAACTAAATCTAGTCTTTATTAAATTTGGGTCTCAACTCTTACCATGATTTCCTCTGATGTCCAGCCACTTGGTTTTTTCCATGACCCTTGTCTTCTTCAGAATACCTTGGTAAGTTTGCCATTCTATCTCCTGCTGCCTGGATCCCAACTGTTCCTTTGTTTTGGCATCTGTCAGATCTCCTGTAGGTTTATGTAAGAATTGAATCACAATGTAAAATAAACTTCGGGGAGAGGTCCCAATTTTTAAAAAATGTACACTGAAGGAACTAAGATAAAGTATTCAACAAGTCTAAGCACAACCACTTGAGTCCACCTCTGTCCAAAAAAAAAAAAAAAACATCTAAACTAAGAAGTTTCTCAGTAAGAGTTAACAAGTGCCTATTTAATCTCTTGCAATATTATAAATGGGTTGTGAAGAAAATATATCTTTAAAGAGAGCAGGATAAAATGCATAATAGACTTTAATAAAATTTAAATCTTTAAGTAAAAAGTTATGTTCTATCTCCTTAAAAAAAGCTTTTATAAGAAATATGAACACCCTGGGCAAGTGCCTAATATCTTTGGCAACCATATTCTCCAAATCCCAAATCAGGACATGTGATCTATAGTATTCTTTTTACAGCAAGAAGCAATCTGAAAGGTGTAGTTTGGACAATAAAATACCAAAACATAGAAAACTTAACAGAACACTTGACATGGGCCCTTTATATAAGGACTGCCACTCCATCATTATCAACAGAGATATGTAAGCGATCAGTAAGGTGGGTGGGAGATGAATGCTCCCGTAAATACGATAAATGCTCTTTTAGCTGCATTTTTGGAAGCAAATGATCAAGAGTTTAGAATCTTGGAAATCCAAATTACACAAGTATCAAGGGATGAAGAAAAAGTGCTCTAGTGATGTAAAGCAAATGAAAACGTTCGTAAAAGAAGAGGATTTTTGGGTTGTGGTTCAAGTTTTCCCTAATTCTCTGCCAAATCCAGAACTGCAACAATCTAAAAAGTTACAAATACAGCACACTGACAACACACTGACATGAGTATCACAAGCCTCACTTTGACTGGCTTAAGGAAGCCTTGCTAAGGCAAATCACCCTGGATCTTGATTCTGTTATCCACAGGCAAAGGGACTGATACTGTCCCATCGACTCTACATCGCTGGGCTCACCTAGGGCTGTGAGTATAGTGTTGCCAACGTTCCCAAAGGGAAAAGCTACAGCCCTAGCTAGCATTCCACCATCGGACCACACAACACAATCACAGCACGGCCATTCTCCCTACCTGTTGCTAAGACGAGAGCTGGTTGAATGATGTCAATAGTTTCAGAACAGAACTTCTCTAAGTCTACCGCTCTGCCTGGATCGCGAAACCTGCTCAGGTGAATGTCGGATATCTGCCGAAAGCAGGTATTGAACAGAGATAGCTGAGTCAGGAAGAGGCGGCATGGGTAGGGGCGGCCCAGCGACTCTCGGGCGGAAGGAAAAGGCAAAGATGCAGTGCATCAGCGAACTCCCCATGGAAGGACCGAGTTGAAGCCAGCACAAGACGGACCCTCGAATTACCACCTGACTAAGGCCCACGGTCCGGAGTCTGGGGCCCAGACCTGCGCAGATCTCGCGCCTGCTGAAACTGCCAGGGTCTCCCTGCGCCTTGCCGGCTTTGCACCCGCCCCCCTTGGGCTCCCGCCAAGTCACCTGCAGGCCCCAGAAGATGTTGCTGTCTCCGGGGCCCGGCGCGGGGTGCGGCCTCCGGGAGGCGCGGGGCTGGGGCAGCGGCGAGGGCCGCCCGCCGGGGCGCAGCCCTCCGTGGTCCCAGAAGGGACCGCCCGGCGCCCCGCGGAGTCGCTCTGCCCGCACTTCCGAACTCTATGGTCGCGGGGCCTAGGGTTCCGGGCACGTCAGCGGGCGATGAAACCTGAGCCCAGCCGGCCTCTTCCGCTCTTTGACCGCCTGCGTTTCTGGGCTCGTTTTGCAAGAGTTAAGGCCGGCAAAGTAAAGGGGACCGACCCCCTCAACTCCAACGACGACTGCAGAGTGGTGACAGGGGAGACTAGACCGGTATCTGGGAGGCGGAGGCTAGAGGCCTGGCCCCTCCTTGGTCACTCATTCCTGACCTTGGTGTGTCCGTCTCTTACCCGTAAAACCGAGTTAATAATGCCTCCCGTGCGTGCTTCGCAGGGGTTGAGAGACTCAAAGTGAATATGTATGAGGACGCCTTTTAAATTGTACAAATAAGACAGGCGTCTTTCTTTGGCTCATTCTCTGTCTTCTCTCTCTCTCTCTTTTTTTTTTTCCATTCTGGTTATTAACGTGCTTCCATAAAGTTTCTTTAGATGTAGTCCATTATTTTGCGAAGCTTATTTTATTATGTAGTCCATATTTTGCGAAGCTTATTTTTTCCTTTATTCTCGTTTTTTATGCTTGATTACATAATATTGCAACACAAAGGTGTAACCATTTATTTAATATTAAGTATTTTCTATGGGCCAAGTACAGAAGATACAGCTTTGGGCTCTGGTCTTAATCTAACCACTTTATTGTTGAATTTTTCGGTTGTTTACTATGTGTTACTGTTCTGAGTAAACTTTTTATGCAAGTAGTGCTTAAAAATATTTTTTCCTTTGGAATATGTCAGCAATTTTGGATTTATGCCAATTCATTAAGTATCTTTGCAATGTAAAACGCCGATGAAGGCAGAAAACATTAAGACATAAATATTAAGTAGATAAGGGACCAGCAGGTGGCCTGGTGGTTAAGGCTGGACACTCCCACATGGCCACCTGGACCTTGTGGCTTGCTTTCTCACTTTCTCTCTCTCTCTCTCTCTGGACAAATTAAAATAAATGAACAAATAAAATTAAATTTAAAAATAATTCTTAAAAAAATAAGTAGATAAAGGGCCATGGCTCCTTATCTTGAGAGCTTATTTATAAAAGAGAAGTACAGGGAACTAGCAGTTAGCGTAATGGCTATGTCGCTAGACTCCCATGTAGTTGACCGCGGTTCGCGTCCCAGACCCGGTGGCTTAAAACTCACGCCGGGCACGTGTGCGTGCGTGCCCAAGATCCTGAGAGGAGAATGGAGGAGAAGGGATTGCGGCGTGACCATCCCCCCTGGTGAGTGGTTCCTTGCTGTCTCTATGTCTCTCTCTGTCTGTCTGGTGAGCGCACGCGCCCTATAGAAAAAAAACCTCTCCAAAAAAAAAAAAGAGAAGTACACAGCTGAGTTTAACAGAAGTATACCCTTTTTGTGACAATAGACAACCAGATATAAAAGGCTGGGGCAAAGGCAAAGTTAAAACTAGGAAAGATCACTTCTTCAAAAGGAATCAGGAGGGAGCCAGCAGTTAGCGTAATGGCTATGTCGCTGGACTCCCACGTAGTCGACCGCGGTTCATGTCCCGGACCCGGTGGCTTAAAACTCACGCCGATCGCGTGTGCGTGTGTGCCCAAGATCCCGAGAGGAGAATGGAGGAGAAGGGATTGCAGTGTGGCCATCACCCCTGGG